CAAGAACAGTAAAGAAAAATCCTTTCGGGTGCCCAACATTGTATAGTCAATACCCAGAAATTCTAACAGAAACGGAACGCTTCCTTAGTCTTCATTCAGCAGGTACGTGTGAGATACTTTGATTTGTATATGCATTGACTAATATGGCAATTGATTCTGTAGGAGGAGACAATAGACACTGGACCTAGCAGTTGTGGCATAATGGGGTTACTGTTAAAGAGATTCAATGTCAAATACAAAAAACATTCAGTTGCGGTCACCCTCGATTGAAAACCATTTCTCAGTCGACCGTCCGCAACTTTATGGTAGCACCAAGATCAAATGTAAAAGCGTCTAAATATTATCATGGTATTATTCAAGCAAAAATTTCACCAAAAACGAATTCAACATCAGTTTTACCACCTAGTTTTCATTTTTCTGCTGCGCAGGTGAAATACGGACGGGAATTAGCATCGTTATTCAGTGATGAAATTATAGATATATCGTATGATAACAAAGCCAAAATTTTAGTTGGCACACTAGCGGTAAAAACTTGTTATTTTTGTAACAAAATATGAAATTCTCCGTATCATATATTTAGGTCAGTGGTCATCATCAAATTAGGAAATTTCATATGACTCATCATGCACTAAATTATCAAGATCATGACTTTCCTACTGGGGCGAAGATAACACCCGCTGTTTATATGGAGATTCGACACAATTTGCGTTCACAGAGTGATGATCGACATAAACACGCGAAACCGTTCTACAATAACAGTCGTTCACGGTCATGTTCTGAATCACTTTTGCCAGATAGTCGAGATATAATTACAGTAAGTAGTATATCGGTTAGAACAGAATTGTCTGTCAGTGTTATACAATAAGATTATTTTTCAGACCGACATTCATAATCGGGAACATATAATTTTTAACCATTCAGGTGATGTCAATATTCCTACGTATTCAAGTCAGTATTATTCTTCCACTAGTGAATTGCATATAAATAATCTACCCGATATAGAAAACTTCATCGAAAATTAGGATAGTCAGTTCTAATAGTAACTGCTGATAATGGACCTGATTGGAAAAATAATTCAGCAGCGAATATTTATAATTTTGGTTTATTATGGGACGATATGAATTTTGACGTAATAATTATAAATCACTATTCGGTCAGAGCTAGTCGTTTTAATCCTGTTGAACGTACAATGGCTACTCTTTCTAAAAAATGAACAGGAGTAGTTTTAAAAACAGAGTTAACTACTAGTTTATCACAAAAATCGAATCAGGATTCTGCCAATGTTGAATTAATACGATACTGGAATGGACATATGTCAATGGAAAAGAAAACCTTTGACCAACTTGAATGTTTAATTATTTTTCTTATTGTTGTTACAACGCACCGTTTAAAATATATTGCAAGCCAGTCCTGTCTGCTGATACGTTTATGTTCAACGGTCATCAGGAGCCACTTACATTGTTGAAAAATACACGTACAACATGAATAGAATCTCATCTTTCATGTCGTTTACAATTTTCTATGAGACATTGTGTTCGAACAAAATATTTATTGCTTTTTATCAAATGCAAAGATGAGTATTGTATGCATTGTGCAGATAGGCCAGTTACGGCTAAAAAAACTGTCTCTTTACTACGTCTCGCAGGTATTTTATGTATATAATCCAATTTTCGCTTCTAACATAGTGTAACCTGTTCATTTAGCAAGTCGTTTTCCAGTTCCAAAACTTTATTTAATAAGCATTATGAAACTTTCCTTCAGCGGTATCATTCATTAATGCACGGTGAACTTAACGCACGTTCAGATTATACCATTAATAAAGAAAAACAATTTCCCGTATATTGCCCAATTTGTTCGAACCGATATGTGTATTCATCTAAAACACATATGAAGAGACATCAAAGTTGGATTGATCCAGAGAGAAATCATGAGCTAAACTAAAATAAGATTCTGAAAATTTCTCTTCTGTAAAATGTTGAATAAAATGTTACGATAAAATGTTAAAGTAAAAACTATATTCAACATCACTTTTTTCAAGAATATACTAACTATGGATACTAGCAGTCTTTTAACTTCTGTTCTACATACATTATCTCTGACTATCATGACCCAAAGAGAAAGCCGGGCAGTCATGGTAGTTCAGATAGCTCTCCGAAAACTCACTTGGCTTTATATTGACGTAGGTATCTAGTTTTCATACGTTCAGCTGTGATATGGGCAGCCGTACAACTCATAAAGTAAACGGTACCTTTTTCTAAGAAATAGTATGGTATAGAGTACAAGTTGTATACTACAAACTGCCAGAAAAGCTTCGGAAGATTACCGTCAAATTTGTTAATCTTTTAACCTGGGAAGTTGTCAGGATAAACACTAATTTCATAGTAAAAGGAATCCTTCTTTTGGATAAAATGATAAAATTTGTTCTTTTCTCTATTTCTTTCTTTATATTTCTCTGTAGTGTGCATCGAAAGAAACAAACATGAAGTCAGGTACAGTACAGAAAAGAATATATACACACGTGTTTTTTCTCTTAAACGATAGTTCCATAAACTTTTTCTCAGGCATATTGAATAATTCTGTTCTCAATTTTCTCTTCAATCAAGTTACCAGTGAATAAATTCACCGATGTGACTTTTGACGGCTTCCCTTACTTTGGACTTTGAATATCAATAAAATTTCAAGCTTTAAGTATACAAAGTTTCAGGATAAGAATAAAACAGGGAGCAAATGAAGATAACCTAAAGCAAATAATGCTATGGTCATTCTTTTCTATTTTTAAGTGCAACAGCACATTTAGCATACATAAAAAAGATATTTAAGCTTTTCAAAAATGTCTGACTCAAAAGTGACGAATGAACTAAAAAATATTATACCCGATACTAAATATTATTTAACAAATG